AAAGCATGTGAGCTGTGTAAAACACATAAGCTCTACCATGCTATACCATATAGTTTCCATTTAATCAACATGTATTCCAATTACCTGTTAAGTGGAGGATATATGGAATTTATGATAATATTTTAAAGTCTACTTCTCTGCACCTTCGGTGCTCTTTGTAGAAACCAATTTCATAAAATGCTGGTGTTTCTTAATGCCAATAAGTAAATTAAAAATCCCTAAATTTCTTCTGGGTTTGCATGCAGATAAATGTCCCTTTCTGCCCAAATCCAGAGGGTGCTTGTGTCATGTGGATTTATGCTGACTGAAGTCCATCTTAAAATCCTGATTAAGGGAGGAGAACAGGGGATTCTTCTGTTGTGAGTCATCTCATCTCAGAGCTTGATCCTGCTTCTACAGATGTTGGAGGGAGTTTTGCATTGAATTTATTAATTGAATGTTGTTTCAGTGCTAGGGAGGGCCACTGGTTTAAATTTTGCAGCAGTGAATGGCATCTCATGTGTATCTGTTAAGAAAGAGGGTGACACCTTTGCCCTGTCTCTACCTGTGAGATCATTAACTGAATGTTATTAACCTAGAACAAAACAATGAGATTCTCAGAGACAAAACTTTGCTTGTAAATGGATCCTGTCAGGGTACTGTTAGAATACAAACCTGCTCCCTAATTACATTTCAGTTGATTGAAGAAAAATTTAGAAATCAAAGGTGTTAAGGGGAATCAGGTCACACTCTCACAGTGGATGTCTCTTTCTTGTACTTTGCTGCAAATTTCGTGATGTTTGAAGGTTTGTAATTGTTTTAAAACACAGCTGCTTTCACTGGAGTTTTAGAAATGGAGAGTTGTGAGAGATCAGTGCCTGTTATCTGTCTGCCTGCTTGGATTTCAGTTGTCTGAGGTGTAGTTCCCGAGCTGGGAGAATGCATGTGGAAAACCTTGGGGATGGACTGCAGCCTCTCCTGGGGTATCCAGGACTGGCAGGTGGAAGTGGCAGCCCCGGGTGCCTCTCCTGTGACAGCCCCAGGGCTCCTCCAAAGCAGTTGGGGCTGCTGCGTCCAAGGGGATTTCCAGCTCTGCTGGCTGTGGAGCTGAAGCTCTTTGGGCTGTGATCAAATCACTTGATGAGGACATTTAGACTCGAGAGGTGGAGATTCCTACATGGGAGACTGAGCTGAGCTGCTGGAATGCAGTGCAAGTCACCCATCAACGTTTGATTTGATCTGTGTGTGATAGTGAGGGGAACTTGAAAGTCACCGATTCTTCCAGCATTGCTGCCATGAGCTGAGCTGCTGGCAGCAGCATCCCCTGCAGGCTGCACCCAGAGCTTGGCTCCCTGGGCTCCCCAGCATTCCCACAAGCTGTGGGTGCAGCTGTCCTGGCTTGTGCCGTGCACTGTTGGGCCCAGTTCTCCTTTGGGATGTTCTCCTGCTCTCCTTGTTGGGAGCAGCATCCCTGGAGGGTGGGAGCAGCATCCCTGGAGGGTGGGAGCAGCATCCCTGGAGGCTGGGAGCAGCATCCCTGGAGGCTGGGAGCAGCATCCCTGGAGGCTGGGAGCAGCATCCCTGGAGGCTGGGAGCAGCATCCCTGGAGGTTGGGAGCAGCATCCCTGGAGGTTGGGAGCAGCATCCCTGGAGGTTTGGGGCAGCATCCCTGGAGGGTGGGAGCAGCATCCCTGGAGGGTGGGGGCAGCATCCCTGGAGGGTGGGGGCAGCATCCCTGGAGGTTTGGGGCAGCATCCCTGGAGGTTGGGAGCAGCATCCCTGGAGGTTGGGGGCAGCATCCCTGGAGGGTGGGGGCAGCATCCCTGGAGGCTGGGAGCAGCATCCCTGCAGCAGCATTGGAGAGGGGGCCAGGAGAGCAGGGCTGTGCTCCTGGCTTGTGCTGCAGGTACATGGTGAGCATCCACCTGTTGGGAAGTTGCTCCACATTGGCTGTAGGAGTTGGTGTGGTGTTACAGAACTGGCAGGAGCAGCAGCCAGATGGTCTCTCCAGTTGTTTGGGATTTTTCCTTGTTGTTGTTGTTGTTTTGCTGCTTTAAAATCTGAAGGCTGCTTTCGGTTAGGCAGCTGCTCTCAGTCTCAGTGCCGTTCAAAGTAATTGACTTTCCATTGACTTTGGAATTTGGAATAGTGTCTAAATATTGGTGTCAGCTTCATGCTGATTACTCTCCACTGAGGCTGAAGTCGTTTCACTTATGACCTCAAGCTGGACTTGTGTTTTGCTCCCATGGGAACTAAAAATAATAATTATTTTAAGAATAGGTTCTTAATCACTTCCTTCTTTTGATGTACTAGTCTTGTTTAGCATTTTCTAAGAATGTAATTGAAAATATTTTAAACTATTTGTGTTTTAATTCCAATTTTAATTAGCTCTTTGAAGATGCAAGGAGTGTACCAGACTTGATTACAGTTCCTTTGAGTCTTTTTATAGAAAAGCATTTGCTCTCGTTATTCTGAGTGCAGATTATTCGAGTTTTGTTGCTTTGGCAAACTGTCGAGTCACACAGAGCTGTGAAGAGATGAACATTAAGTTGACAGATTTCTTAGTCAAAGGCATGTGGGCACTTTGTCAGTGTTGGTGATGCATCAGCACATTAATCTCCTGTCTCCAAACTGTGAATGTACAGATGAGAAACAGGAAAAGGTGGGTTTAGTCTGGGTTTGGAAGGGAAGATAAAGTGTGCAGTGGCTCTGGGGCAGAGCTGGCTGTGCAGTGAACACCAAAGTTGTTGGGATAGTTTGCAGTGATGGGAGAAATATGAAATGGATGGAGATCACTCTCTGCCCTGACACATGGGCTGGGTAACAGTGAGATAATTTAGTTGGAGATCTTTCCATTAACTAAAAATCTTGAAATTTCAAAGTGGAGTCTTGGGAGAGATTTCTTTTCAGTAGTGCATCCATATGAAATAGAATCCAGGAGGATTTCCTAAATGTCTGTGACCATGCAGATGGTGCTGAGTGCCTTAAAGCCCAGTGACAGCACAGGTACATTAACAATGATTTTTTTATTTCTTGCTAATAGTTGTCATGGTTTGCTCTCACTCTGTCAGTGAAGTTGCTTCCTCCAGCAAGTCTGCTGGTCTTGGGGGTGCTCAAGTTCCATGTTGTGTACCAAATTCTGTTTATTTTTATCAAGCACCAACGTCCCAAAGGCTGCAGCAGAGCCTTGTAGGATAATCCAGTGCACAGCCTAACCCCCAAAGGGGCAGCTGGGCATGGACAGGGCTCACAGCTTGATCACTCACTGTTCTCTTGCTGCTGGGAATCATCCTTTTGGTGCAGTTCATAGCCACTCTCTGCATCTGCTTCCTTGGGCATACAAGAACATTGCAGTTCATTTTTGAAGAGATGAGGAGGAAAAAAAAATCAGGCAACAACTCATCTACTGATGCATTGCTACAACCTGTTGCCACAACTGACATTTTATATAGTAGTAAAATTGAAAGAGCAGAGCTGATTTTCTTTACCTGTCTCTTGGCTGAAGCCTGGCATTTGCTCCTCTGTTACTGTAGAGTTGTGGGAGTACCTGAGTGTGAGAGCAGCTGTGGTGTCAGCAAGGGAGGAAATATTTGAAAAAATGTTAGTTTAATATCCTGTTATTGGCAGCTCTGGCATTCTGGTTGCTTTTGTTTAGGCCGAGGAGTTTTTACTTGTTTTTAATCTTGCAAGTTTTAATAAAAGGTTTCTTTAAAAAGAGCTGCCGTTGGGAGGTTTCCCAGACCGAATAGGAAACTGGGAATTATCAGTTCTCCACCCTCAGGCTCTGTGCATGGGCTTTGGTGAGCCAAGGGAAGTGCCTTGCACTTCTGTAGGATGGATGTAATTCTATTTGCACAGAGATTTTAGAGCTTAAATGTGAAATGAGCTTTTAAGGATAAATCATTCCTCTCTGAGTTCATTTGTGCTGAATGCGTGAGGCAAATGGCCCGTGCCAGGGCACTGTCTGTGCTGCTACATCCAGAGCCACTGCAGTTCATGGCAGAGAGCATTCCTGGCTGACCAGGTGCTCAGGGATCTCTCTGAGAGGGCAGAGTGTGTGTAGGTGACATTGCCACTCCTGCCACTCCTTCCTGTCCATCACCCCTTGAGCTGATGCTCCGAGGGTGTCACGGTGAACCCGTTTCCTGTGCTGTTGTATGGGTTGCAGTTGGTATTTCTGGTCCAATTCCCTCATAGCAAGGTTGCACAAACAGCACAGGAGGTATAAACTTGAAAGATGTGAGGCTAAAATGCCCCGAAACAAGAGAGGAAACCTAGGATAAGCATGGTTCTTATACTTTAATCTCTGGTTTGAAATTTACTGTGTTATGAGTATTTCCTACTTCCTCTGCCCTGTCAATAGTATGGATTAATGATTCATAAAGGTGTGTTGTAAGGGCTGGGTAGTTTGTGTTTATACAGTGCTTATTAGAGTCCCTGCTGCTTCTTCCTTTTTCCTTCCATTTCCCTTCCATCTCCCAGGAGCATTCATGTATAAACCATTTCTTTTTCCAGCCTTGCCTTTCCTTGGAGAAAAGTTTCTAGCCTGTTGGTACTCCTTTGTGCCCAGCTCTGATTACCAGCAGTGTAGAATTGGTGGATTATATTTTTCCATGGGCCAGAACTGGCATTTCATTCCTCCTTTCCAGTGTTACCAGCCTGGAAAATCGAGTGGAACTGAATCTGACCAAACATGCAGAAGCCTCTTAATTTTAAATAATCTCAGTCCCAGTTGGTGGAAGCTCATAGGTGGGGGTTAGAAAAGGTGGGTGAAATTAATTTCATTCCTGATGATATTCTTGAGACCAGTTGGGACAGTTCTTAGTTCTTATGGAGGACACACGAAGACTGGATTAATCTCTGGCTCCTGGTTTAGTGAGCTGTGGACAGTAAAAGTTGTGACTGGCTTCTTGTTGTTTCATCTGTTGAGAGTTCTGCTGGTTTAGGGGGATGCTTTGTCTTGAAAGGAAGGGAGAGAGAAAAACTGAAAGTAGAATGATTTGTTGTCTGTTTTGTTGCAGTGGAAGGTTGGTTTCACCAAAATGGAAAAATTTTAAGGGACTGAAGCTTCAGTGGAGAGATAAAATCCGTCTCAATAACGCCATCTGGAGGGCCTGGTACATGCAGTGTAAGTACCGTGCTGGGGGCGGGTCTTCCCCGAGACATCGGTAAGAACAAGAGAATTGAAATTGTTGTGTACTGAAAAGCTCGGGGATCTGCCCAGGTCTGATGTTCCAGAGGCAATGCCGTTGGATCGGGGCTTTCCTGGGTGTGCCCACACTGGGCACGTGCTGAGAGCTCCAAGCACAGCCCGAGATCTCCCCTGGCAGCCCTTGGCACTGGGGGGGCAGCTCTGCAGGCCCTGCTCGTGCTCAGCACCGGCGTTGCCGTTGTTGTTTCAGACCTGGAGAAGCGCAAGAACCCCGTGTGCCACTTTGTGACCCCTCTGGACGGCTCCGTGGACGTCGACGAGCACCGGCGGCCTGAGGTGCGTGGGAAACCTGGGGACAGCCCAGAGAGCTCTGGAGTTTGTGACAGGATTTTCTGGTCTGCTGGGAACAAGGGCAGCAGAGCCAATCTGGGCTCTGGTTTTATTTAGAAGGAACCATTAAAAGCAGAGTGAACCCGGTTTTGTGAGTTCATCACATTAAGATGATCAAGATGCAGCCAGAAGGACATTTGTTATCTGTGTAACTTATGTTAATGCTGTAATTTAATGAATCATAAATCACAGAAGTGCTATTTGAGTAGTTCAGGTTTTGACAACCACTGCTGTCTTCTGACTGGAAGTTGGTGGGAAATCAGTGATGGCTGTTTTCAGGACTGAATCTAAGTGAACCTGGGAGAGTTTCTGTATTTTATGTAATTGGAGAGGTGTGGTTTCAAGAGAACAAGCAATTTCTTTTTCTGTGTCGAAGTAGTTTCACAGACAGATCAAATATGAGTTTGTGTTCTTTCATTTTTGTGCTCCTGTAAACATAAATGAAAACTAACATCTGCCCTCTGGCTCCTTGCAGAATACCAGTGAGGCCCTTGATGTGGCAATATGTGGCTCTCTCTATACTGCATAACTCTAGAGTAATTTATAACTCAGAGGAGTTCCAGATGAATTTGTGGAACTGTCTCAGGTTTTTGAAAGAACAGTGTTGATGTTTGTGTTGAAAGTGACCCTCGAACACAAAGTTAAGGCTCTCATTAGTCTGCTCTCCCCAGCTTACACACTGCTGTCTGTGATACATTGAAGACCCATATCGTGTGATCCTTTTGTTGCCATCAGTGTGTGGCCTGCAAGGTCCCCCCCTGAGCTGGACATCAGATTTCTCTTGCTTTGTGTCATTCATAGCAGCTTTTGCTTATGTGTGTGTCTGTGCATGTGATCTTGTGAAATTCACAGGATATTGTGTGCTTTATACATTATATTTCAGTAAATTAATTTTTAAGGGTTTTTTTTTTGCCATTTCTTAACTCTTGTTTATGGTTGAGCTGCTGTGGGAGATGCTGACAGTGCAGTCAGATGTCACCTCGTGTTTGGTTTTTGTGGGAAAGATGAAGTTAGTACTGTCAGATTTGCTCTGTGATAGCTGAACTCTGGGACAGCGTGGGCTGCTGATACATGAGCTCAAACAGAATTAGCATGCTTTCTTTTGCATTTTTTATGCCTGAATATTTGCTTGGAAATGTATTGAATATTCAGCCCTTATGTGATTCCGTGTAATTCATGGTATGTGTTTGTGTTCTCAGGCCATTGCAACAGAGGGGAAGTACTGGAAACGAAGAATTGAAATAGTCATTAGGGAATACCACAAGTGGAGAACATACTTCAAGAAAAGGGTCTGTTGGTTTACATAGTGAAAGTAGTTTGCTTGAGCTTGATCAGTATGTTGCTGCTTTTTGAGTTTTTCTATCAGTTTTTCTGGCATGCAAGAGTACTTGAAACAGATGATAAGCTGGTACAGACATGCTCTCTGATTAGTTCCACTTAACTAAAAATTATTGTGCTGGGACGGGACTGATTGTGCATGAGTGGGTCTTAAAAGTTTTGCAAAATCAGGTCTTCCACTGGCACATACAGGACTTACTCTGACTTCATTCACCCTGTGTTCTGTTCTCCTTTTGCAGTTACAGAAACACAAAGATGAAGATCTTTCAAGTTTGGTCAGGGTAGGTAACACCACTGAGAAGTGGCAATATTTGTGCTTGTAGAACCCGCAGTAGATAACAAAGCTGTAACATGCAGCAGCTTGCTTTGATTACAATCTAAGAACGAGCATCTTGCTTAAGCCTTAATTAAGGTTAGACACCTTAATGTTCTGTGCCCCAGAGAGCAATGTGAGATTTGTAGCTTGAATTGGATGGAGGAGAGGCTGAATGTAAAGTGCTGTGATAGAAGAAATGGGAATCAGCACTGCATGCCCAGAGAGATCAATCTCTTTGAGGGCTGGCACAGGATTTCATCTTGTTACTGAGTTGTAACTGGCACTGCTGCTTTGCTTGTGTAACTGGATCTGTGAAGATGTGGGAGCTGTGTTTTGCAGATCTTCCTGCTGTGCCCACAGCTCAAGCAGATAATATGCCAGGATCCTATAAAGGGACAAAATGGTTACAGAGACAGTGGTATGTCCCCTTAAACTATCAAACCTACTTTGGGTATATAAACTGATGATCAGAAGCACTGTTCTGCTGTTTTTGCAAGGCAGTGCAGTTTAACTCAGCTGTAGTGAGGGATGGCTAAGCCAAGTCACACTGTGTTTTATTTTTCATGGGCAAAAAGTGTCTTGTGCAAACTTGGAGTACAATTGCACTTCACTGCGAGTCAGAGTTTCAAATACATCTCACAAGACAGGAGTTGTTTTTTGCATTCTTGCTAGTCATGTTATTTTTAATCTTTATTCAGACCAAGGGATTGTTAAACTGCGTGCAAAAATACTTGTGTAATCAATCAAGCAAGGAAGTGTTGTTATTTGTCTTATGTCCTTCTAGTCAATATCTGGGTTTTGGGCAAAAATCTGTCCCAGAGTGTTCTGGTATGTCAGTATCAGAAGCACCACTGAAGTGTTTCAGCCCATTTGATGGCTCCTCAAAGAGAGGTTCTTCCTTTAAAAATGTGAAAAATGAGGGCTGCTTTTATAGATATGCACCAGACTGCTTTGGCATTGCTGGGCAGCCTGACCTCTCCTCCTTTCCTTTGGCAGGATGATGATGTGGTTCTCTGGCAAAAGAGAAGGTATGGCAGAGAAACCCCTGTGCCCATGGAGGAAGGCAGCCTGCTGGATGCAGACATGCTCATGTCCGAGTTCACCGACACCCTGTTCTCCACGCTCTCTTCACATCAGCTGGTTTCCTGGCCAAACTCCAGGGACATAGGTATTTGTTGGCTGTGGCTATGCTGCACTGAGAACCCCTACAAAAACTCGGGTTTGTTGCTTTGCTGCTCTTGTAGTCTTGCCTAAGAAATCTATCTTATATTGCTGATACAGATAAAAACAGGTCAGGGAATGTCTTATGATTCTGTAGGTTATAGAGTCCCACTTAATGATCCAAATTTAATTTCTGTCTTAGCTTCTTATGTGCTGCTCCCAGCTTTGCCCCCTGATGTTGCTCTGAATAAATATGTAATGAGCAGTATTTACTTTATCAGTGGTGAAGGCATTGTGATTTATCTCAAAGCATAGTTGTGTGTGTATTTTTAAGGGAGTGCCTGTGTATTTTTGTTTGGCTTTGTCTGGTAGAATCAGTGCAAGTTTCATCTGTACAAACAATCCCAAAATCTATTCAACTTTCTCTGGAGGCTCTGACTGTCTGATGGGACAGAACATGTCCACTGTTGACCATCCTTGCTGCAGGAATGTCTGAGCAACTCCAGAGCAGCCATGGTTGACATGAATTGTACTCAAGGCAGATGAAATGGGTGATGGTTTATTTTAAAATTCTCTGTTATGAGCTGTGGTGGATCAGGCTGTGCTTTCCAGCAAGGTTTTGTGTAGTGCAGCTCAATTAGAGCCTTCAGGTTTCACCTCTTCCATTTTAGTAATTGAAAGTTTCACTCCCAAATGGCTTTGATACCTGGACTGTGCTGTACTCTGAAGAGAAGCAGATGCTCAGTTCCTTTCAGCACCAGTTTTTCTGTAACATCTTGGCCAAGCCTGGCTGTGGAGTGTTTTATTCCTGCCGCTGTTACTGTGTGAGTGATGGGAAGCTAATCTAATCTGTCTCCTGAATTTTGCAGGACACTTAGGAAATGCTGACATGATTCAACCAGGGCTTATTCCTCTCCAACCAAATTTTGATTTTATGGATACTTTTGAGCCTTTTCAGGGTAAGAATCATATATAGAGTTCATTAATTTCTTAAATATTGCAGTGATTTATGAACTAGGTTTTTAAAAAAAAGTTTAAGTGTTACAAGCATCTAAGGTTTCCCCATTTCACACTTCTTAGTGATGAAAACATTTAACTTTTTGTTTGTCTTTGAATGTTTTATGGCACTGTCAAGAATTCCATATAACACTAAACTACTGCTGACAACTTTGATGGTTATGGACCTTCATGGAAGTAAAGAGTCATATCTATTTGCTGGCTCTGCAAGGAGTCTGCATTAGATAACTGCACTTTGTGGGACTCACTGAGGAGCTCATGGCTGTCTGTGTGTAGATGAACCTTTAACAGGACTGATTTTTGCATTGTCCCTGTTTGCATGAAAATTGAAGGAGTCAGCCCCAAAGCCCCTCTGAAGACAGCAATTCACTGCTCAGTTGTATGAAGCAAAAAGCTCATGGTTTCATTATTTGTTTAATAATACTGATACTCCTGTGAATTTTAGGATCTAGCAATGCTGTATCTTAAGTATGAAAAGAGGAAAATTAATAGGTGGCTTTTCATATTTCAGAATTATTCACACCCAGTCGCTCCAGTAATTATTTCCCTTCCGTGTCTGCTGTCAGCTCAGCTACCACAGACAGCAGCAGCCACTCGTCCCAGGTAAGAGAGGTTTCAAACAGAAGGCTCTGCCCTGAGCCATGGAGGAGTTCCTCCTCTCAGGAGGAGTTCAGACATGTCTGAGTCAGTGACGTTTCCTTCTCTCAGTCTCCTGTCCTGCCGTCGGGTTCGCTGCCCAGCACGCTTCCAGCAGGGAACATCAGCGATGGACTGATTCCTTCCTCAGTACCTGCTCCTGTCATTCCTGACGTCGTTGCTGACCAGTGTTCCAGCATTAGAAGTGGGGGATCTTTCATCCAGCCAGCAGACTTCCCTCCTGACTCGTCTCTCAGCGGGCCACAAACTTTCATGTCGGTGTTCCAGACGCCGCTGCCGCTGCTGCAGCCCCCGAGCGCCCAGCAGCCGCCCCCGCTGCCCGCGGTGCCGCTCGGCTCCAGCCTGAGCCCCGCCCCCGCCGCCTTCGCCGCTCCAGAAACGCCCAAGTTCGGCCTCTGCGAGTCCTCGGTCATCACTCACACGGCCTCTGCCACGCTGACCCACAACGCCCCTGCCACCACCTTCAGCCAGAGCCAGAGCCAGAGCCTGGTGCTGGCCACGCAGCAGCCGGGGGCAGGAGTGCCTTGTAACCTGGCCTTCCAGACTGCTGTTGTGCAGGGGCAGCCCCGGCCCCAGCTGCAGTCCCAGCTGACATTTGCACTCCCCAAACCTGTTCCTCTGGCCAGTGCTGGGACAAGGCCCAAACAGTCACAAAAAATAGTGCCTGCTCCGAAGCTTGAAACAGTGTCCTTAGTGGTAAAGAATGCCTTCATCACCCCAGGTGAGGAGCACTGTGGGAGGATGGCTTTGTTTTCTGAGTGGGACAGGCAGGAGGAAAAGACCTCCTTGCTTTTCTTGCTTTACATAGTAAGTTAAAACAGAGCTGCTGAGTGTGTCCACGGAACCCTTGAATCCACTGGCTGAATGCAGTGGCTGCACTGTTCAGTGGGATGCTCTGGACTGCTGCAAGGACTGGAAGCAGTTTGGTTGAGTGTGAAAAGCTGACCTGCAAAAGGGGATTTCTTTTGTATCATCTGTGATGGGCTGTGTAGCTGCACCAGCTCTGTGCTCCTGTCCCATAGAAGCCCTGGATTTAGGAGTGATGCTGCTGGGATTAACTGCCCCTCAGGGCATTCAGCCACAGTGGAGGAAGAGATTTTCCTGAGGGAGCTCGAGATCTTTGTCTCAAGCACTCTAGAGACCCTTGAGATGCTTTAAGTCAGGAGTTGATTTCAGGTCAGGATAGGAACACCTGGGACTTCCACACTGGGTGGGATTTGGAGCCACTGATGCTGCACAAGGCAAAGAATAAGATAAGAAGTGAGAATTTAGCTTGAGGTGGTTCTTGTAGGAAAGCTCAAGGCTGGAGCAGGACAGTCAGAACACCCTTGGGATTATTGCAGTCTGTTTTTAGACTTGTGCTGGCTGGGAGCCAAGTGACTTCAGCCACTTGAAATGTGCAACAATAATTCAAGAAAAAGCCTGCCTGGAGGAGTAATGTTAAACAGGCTTTACTGGGGAGTAGGTGTGTCTGCCAGGGCCTGACAGTGAGGTTACCCACCAAAGAGAAAAATCACTGTTCAGGAGAAGGGCAGACCCAAGATGGAATTCTGGGATGTCACTGGGAAGAATTTTGGTCCATGATTAAGAGCACAAGGGTGTTAATGGCAGTGTTCCTATCTGCAGTGTGTTATAAACCAGCATTCCATGTACCTTCAGCAGTTGAGACATGCATTTCTCACCTAGTAAAGATTGTAGGCAACTCATTTTCAGAAAGCCTTTGCTCCTGCTTTTCTCAGGCTTCCTGGGTTGTTCCTCACCCCACATATTACTTTCCCAGTGCTCCACCATTTACTTCTAGACCATCACAACCAGTGGCTTTGTTTCTCATCTAGATTAATGGCATGTATTTGGGGATCATGGTGTTCCTAAACTACTGGGACATCAAGTTCAGGGGACAAATCCAAGAATTTATATAAATACTAGAGCTTTATTTTTGGAAACAGAATAAACATCAGTACTTGTAACTGAGGCATTTATGCCTGTAATTTGTGTTCAGGACAAACAAATCATCTCCTGACTGTAAAGCAAATTACATTATATCTTGTGTTAAAACCACTGTGTGATATAAGGACCCAAAAACCTGTACAGATTGTCTCATTAGGTGCAAGACTTCACTGCTATCACTTCATGATAAATGTGCTGATTTGGAGAGGAAAGTCTGCAAAAGATGCATATGTAGGACAGAAACATGAATCATGTAAAGTGACTTGTAAATGTTGTTGCTGGCTGCTGCAGGTCCCCAAATGTGGAAGTCAGAAAGGCCAAGCCTGTGCAGCAGCATTACTGCACTGGTAAGAGTGGGCTCTTGAGGTCAGTAGAGATGTCCCAGTCCAGCTGAACATCAGTGAACAGTGGAAAGGTTGTGATTCCAGCTTTAGATGTGGGAGTGCTCAAAGAACAAACGCCCTGTGTCAGTGACAGAGCCACGCAAGGGCTGGCACAAGGTTTGTGCAATCCCCAGGCCTCTCTCATGGAGGCTGTGCAGAAACTCCAGTTGAGTCAAAACACAGCTGGCAGGCAGAGGTGACACTGTCAGGGAGGGGACGTTGGATAGCCCTGCACTGTCTCCCTGTCCTGCTGTGTGTGTCCTTTGGGGTCCTCATGCTGAACTGCAGAGGGGTGGCTTGGCAGGGGCTGGGCTGTGCTGACATTTCTCCTGCATCATGACTTTGTTTGTGCAAAGGAGAGCTGAACCAGTGCAGCCAAGAGTCAGGCCAAATATGTTTGGTTCATTTTTATCAAAACTCAGACAGAAGCTGTGTCTTTGCCTGATTCTTCCCTTAGTGACAGTTTAGGATGGTCAGTCATTTTCTGTAGAGACTGGGCAAGAGCAATGTCAGCATGAATGCTGTGGTGGTAACTGCACATCTGCATTGGTTACGTGGAGATCTTCACAGATTCATGTGGAGACATTTGCTGCTATTCAGAATTACCTCTAGCTGCCTAAGCACTGCAGAACTCTTGGTTCTTTAGCATATTTTGTGGACTTTTGATGCTGATTCCCAATCACATTTGGTTGTCTTGTGGTTGTGTGTCATCTAAAGCAGCTATATAACCAGATAGTGAAAGAAGCTGGTAGGCTGAAGTGCTGAGGGAAAGGATTCAAGGCACATATATGAGGAACCATGAGGTATTGAGTCATTGACCCCTCCTGGGTCAGCAGAGCAAGCCTGAGACCCCAAAGTGTGGATGGAAGAGAGCTGAAGATGGTCCTCTCATGTCAAACCCAGCTCTGACAGAATGAAGACACTTTGTATCTCCCTGAATTACTACATACCTCTGTAAATTCACTGTGAAACAGTGACAGTCATTCTAGAAAACTCAGAAATAGCTGGAGTGTTGAAGTCCTTTGTACTGAGTTAAAGGGGTTGTGATTATTGGAAGACTGGTGGCATTTTATACTGCAGTGAAATAGTACCAAATAGATGCCTATTGATCCATGCCCATGTTATTGACAAGTTATTTCATACAAAATAATTTCCATCTTTTTTTTGTATCATTAACTATTCTAACTGAATTGTGTTCTTCAGCTGCCTTTCAGGGACAGTCCAGAGCTGTGATTGTAACTCCAGCACCTTTAAAAAGAGAGGGGATTTTGACGCCAGCCACGTCTCAGTCTAATGTTGCAATTGCACCAGCTGGAATTGTCAGAGTAAGGAGAAGATAAAAAAAAATTATATATTTGTTTTCTAGGCCTGTTATTTGCAAGTAGTCAGAGCCATAATGTGCTCAGGCGGGTAACGAGTCCAGTAAATCATCTGTTACCCAACATTTGTGCATTTGTGCATTCAGCATTATGTTTGCTTGTTTTTAATGTAGCCACTCCATGGGCTTGGAAGCACTTTATAGTCTTGACAGGCTCTGTCTCACACAACAGTAAGATTCCAAGGAGGCCTGTATTCACAGTGCTGTGGATGGGGATGGTTTGTGCTTTAACTGTGCAGGAGCTGGAAGGTGCCCATGGAGCTCACCTTTCCACTGCCATATTGGAAAACATCCCTTGGGGATGTGAGTGGGTTTCCCCAATATGTTGTGTGCAGGAAGATGGAGATAGATTTTAGTATATTATGCTGTTGATGTGTTGTAATATTGCTTTAAGTTATGAAAGGATACTGGTCTCCTGCCAGAAGCCTGACTCTGGTGCCTGCCAATTCCTTATGTATTAACCCTTGTTTCATGTCATCAGATTGTTAATCATGTATTAATTTGCTACTTTTAGTGAAAGGCAAGGTAACAAATCTCTCTTTCTCTCTTTCTCTTTCTTAATCTCTCCCCCCACTTTGTCCTTTCTCTCATCCCTTCTCTCCCTCTGCCCCCACACTGCCCCTCCTGCTCTTTCTCTCTGTTTTCCTCTGTGCTGTCTCTGTGCTGTTCCCAGGCTCCCGGGGTGACGGAGTTCCGTAGTAACATTCTGGTTGGTCCAGCACAGCGAGCACCAAGTAGTCAACAAAGCCAGTCCACAGTCTCACATCTCTTTCCTCCTAGTGTAGTCCAAGATGTGTTGGTGAAAGGAGAGCACATCCCTTCCCACTGTAGCAGTTCACAAGTTCCCTCACCTACACCTAGTAAGTTAGAAAGCTGTAAGCATTCTCTCCCCTGCACATGGAAGTGTGTTTCTGTTGGGTAGGCAGGGTGTAAATGGGCCTTGAGGATCTCTGGATAATTACTGAAGGAAAAGCTTTTCAGGCCCTTCTACCCCACAGCTTCAGTTGCGTCCAGTAGTTTCCAATTCTTGTCTTAAATGACTGTGCAGCATCCCCCCAAACTGTGATTTTGTGTTTCCTGTAAGTGGCTCCTTTCTAAAAGGATGTGCTGTCGTAGTCACCAAGAAATGAAAGGCATCTGTGTAGGAAGTTCTGAATAGGTTTGTTGTTCAGTATCATAGCTCTGATTTTGACTGGAGGATCTCAGACACAATCCTTGTAGGTAAGTGCAAAGACTCCTTTTGCATGTGCATTGGTGGAGTGTTCCCTGGGCTGGTTCTGGTGGTCAGTGGCTTGTAAGTGTCACCATCATGTCCCAGGCCTTTAGAGACAAATGGGGGAGCCCAGCAGGACAGTGGAGTCACAGCCTGTGCATCCAACATGCCTTTGCTGAAAGATGTGTGTGAAAGGACTATTCCATCTTGCTATTCAGGATGTATCATGTGATATCCTGAGCTTTTCCAGCAGTCTGATTTTCTCTAGCATGTGGTTGCTGCATCAAACAGTGTAGTTTGGTTGCTGACTGCATTTCAGTTCAATTCTGAGTAGAAACTTCTCAGCAGTTGCATTTGCTACAGAAAGTTGTTTGTTAATGTGTCTTGTGTTTTTTCCTTTCTGAAGGCCGGGACTGTCAAAATTCAGGCCAGGCTTCCCCCTGCACCTCTGAGCAGAGCCCCAGTCCACAGTCTCCTCAGAACAGCTGCTCAGGAAAACCTGCCACTGACCCTGCTGTGGCTGCACTTAAGGTGTGTGTCCTTTCCTTTGAGGGGCTTTTCTTTGCCTTCATAGCTGCTTTTCTGTCCTGATGTCTGAGCATAGCCAGAGAAAGTTGTGCTTCAGGACAGTAGAACTGTGTGTCGAGCTTAGCTTGCTGCTGCCTCTGTGCTGCTCTGTGCAATCCAAAATGTCAGACTCTAATCTACTCTGCTCCTCGGGGATGTGTCACCAGAGGGGCCAGGCTTAGCTGTACCTCTGCAGGTCCTTATGGTCGTGACAGCAGCTCCTGCTGTGGCTCACAGGAGTGTTGTGACAGGTGTCAAGTTTACTTGTCAAAGGTTTCAGGCTTAGTGTTCTAAACTGTGGCTTTTTGCCATTGCTCTGTTGGGGCTCTTCAGTCTGCAGGGCTCTGGCCATGGCTGGAGGGGAAGTTCTTGACCTGCTGAGTTATTACATGTCTCCAGTGATGCTGTGCTGCTCCACAGAGAAGCAGCTCCACAGACTCTACGAGTTACACCTGTAAAACCCTTTGAGAATCACTGGGGTAAGAACTCAGCGGTCTGGAGGTAGCACCTGAGTGCTGGTTGTACCTCACACGCAAGCTGAGCTTGTCAGAACACTTTCTGTGGTGGTATGAGAAACTTCTCCATGAAAACCCCATCAGAACAATCAGCTGTAACCCTCCCATTCATTCTGTTGTGGGAGGGAGCATTACTTAACAGTTCTGCAAGTGCCAGCCCCCTTCTGGCTTCTCTGGCTCTGTGTACCCTGTGAGTTGGTGGCAGTTTGGTTACTCCAGGGCACAAAGGTAAGTTTAACACCCACAGCCTGTGACTAAACTCAGGTCTAGATCTGTTGCAGAGGACAATCAGAACTGCCCCTTGCTGACCATGCTGCAAGTTACTGATAAAAGATGGCAGGGATTTGCTTGGCATGAGAGCTCACAAGCCATGGATGCAGCTTGTTCTGCTGCTAGAGAGTAAGGTAACAAAGGAACAAATTAGTAGGGCTGGCTGATGGTGGGAAAGTGGTCACTAGGTGTAAAAGCAAAGACACAGCTTTACAGCCATGTAAACACACCTGCTCTGACAGGAATTGCTTTGGATATGTACTGTTAGTAACTCTTTTGCAAGACAAGAGAGAAACAGTGATACTTGCCAGGCTCCAGATGTATGTGCTTTTGTTCCTCTGTATTGTCAAGTTAGATTAAACAGTTCTGTATTGCTAGGTAACATGGTTATTTCAGTTTGGCAAAGCATGGAGGGCACTGGAAATCTCAGTTCTGCTCATGGACCTGCATTTTCTCTGGTTTTGGGCAACCATTTCACTGCTTTATTACATTGCTTTCCCCGTTATAAAGTGGGGTGATGGTGAACTGCTGCCAGAAAGCCTCACTCTTCCAGGAATGGGTTCTCAAAGTGCAAACTCTGTTAAAGAAGTTCCTTCATCCCAGGTTTCCTGTGGCAGACTCCCAGGAAAAGGCAGTAATTGAGTGATGCAGCAATAGGAACACCTTGGGCTGCTGCTGCAAGAGAGGGACTCAGAACAAAGAAATCCCTGGGCTGTTACAGTTTTGGTCTCTGCACCTCCTTCACACACCTGGCACACACCTCTGTGTGGAGTGGGGATTTTCAGAGTCATATCTGGAGTCGTTTTGTTCCTTCCTGGATCCTTTCTGTGTGTCCCTGCTGTGGCTGTGACACGTGTGACCATCCCAGGGCTGATCCCTGGCTGTTCCAGGCTCCAGCTGAGCTGGGCAGGAGCCACAGGGTGGCGATGTGGCCCCAGCTTTGGGAAGGGATCTGCCGGCTGCTCCTTTGTCCTCGGCAGCTCAGAGGCCTTGGAATAATCTGGTATTCCCAGTGCCCAAGCAGAAACTAGAGCTCCTTTTATTTTCTTTCTGTTGGCACCAACCTCGGGAGCTCCTGTCAGTGTTTAGGTAGCTCCCAGCCCTGGGATCCAGGGGCTGCAGAATCCTCCTGTGCCTAAAAAGTCCTGCCAGTTGTTTTCTTTGTTACTGATTGAAAGGTATTTCTACCACAGCCTGGACCAGTTCTGGGTCTACTGATCTTTGTTCTTTTGTTAATATAAATCCTAAATATTTTACTTCCTGATGACACAGCTTAGAAAGATGTGTAGGGTGTCCTTTACTTTCTGCTAAAGCACTCCACAGACAAATGGTATCTTTCAAACATTTGTGTGCCTTGCTGGCAAGTAACAAATCACGTGCATACTGTACAAGCCTAGAACCTCCAGGTAATATAATATCTTTCATATTTTCTCCTTGCCATTCTGGCATGTGATGCTTAAAATAGGTGCAGATGTCAGAGGCAGGTTGGTCCACAAACACACTGTCAGTTCATTATTAAGGTTCTGGAGAGTTGTTCCAGGGGAGGCTGTGAATGCCAACAAGTCAACAAAAATGACACTGAATTTGAGGAGCTGAAATAGTCATAGCAGTAGAACAGTAAAGGACAACAGCACAGACTGAGCTGATTTTATTTGTGCAGAATCGAAGGATGAGGCATCTTTCAGAACAAAAACGAAGGTCTAATATCAAGATTGGTTTCAGTGCTCTGAACAGCTTGGTGTCAGCCAACTCCAAGTCGGTAAGTACTGCAGCAGCACTTAGAGTTTGATGTGAAATGTAAAAGGAGCCATTCTCAAAGCCTTGTTAATAAATGCAGTGATTTCACTGCTGAGTGGTCAGCTGAGCCCAGCAGAGAACACACTGCTGGAACACAGCAGTGAGCAGAGGTGGAATGGGAAAGCTCAGGTAAATTCCTAGGATTTCCTACACCATTGAGATCTCTGCCTCCCAGCATGGTCAGTTGAGATGATTTGGAAAATCTCACTAGGACTCTTTACACCACCCAGCTATCTTTAAGAATCAGGGTCTTTTTGTCCCACTTTCACCTGTCACTTGTGCTTGGGTTCACAGAGAAAAAAATTCTGAACTGATTTCTCATTGTCCAATGACTTTGTCCAGCTGAAAAACTTACTCTGGCTACACCAGTCAACTTAGTTCACTAAATTGAAATACAAATATATCTGCACAACAAAATTTTTAGTGTCCTTTAAATACCAGCGGCTCTGAAACATGCAAAATATGAAAGCTTTTTGTGCAACATGTTGATTTGTTTTTATAATTTTTATAGTTTCAGAAATTTAGGTGATATGTTGCCAGAATTTCACTTCCTGGCTTCAATAGCCTATTTGAAAGGAAGACCTTTTTGAAAACTCAGCTTTATTGAAATGTCTGGTTATTTTATTTCTCAAGTACAGATTTTTAATTGGTTCCTCCAAACTGAAGAGTATTATTATCTCCTTTGATGGGTCCTTCTGTTTAATAACTTCAGGTTTCCCAAACTAAATAATTTATATTATCAACTTAAAGCAGTGCTTCTACCAGCACTATAAATCTGTCTGGAGATGTAGCACATACTTCACTACTTAAGTAAAACTGTAAATATTTTTAAGAGGACAGATAATGAAATAAAACATTTTAAATTATTAAAATACTTCTTTCAACAAAGTAGCAGAAATGTAATTTATGGAAGAAGACAACCCCTACAGACACATTTCTTTGTACTGGAGTTTGAAGAGGATTCAGAGAAATGCAGAGTTGGGTGTCTGAAATGTTTTGCTCTGCCTGACCCTGTGCTTTTACACACAGTGAAGAAAAATTAAAAGGTGCTGGAGTGCAGGTTAGGAGGACAAACTCCTCATGAACCTCAGGTTGTTGCAGGAACTGAGCTGTGTGTCTGTGTTTGGCCTAGATCAGCCACGCCATCACGCTCCAGAAGACAGTGGAATACATCGCCAAGCTGCAGCAGGAGAGGAGCCAGATGCAGGAGGAGACCCGGCGGCTCCGGGAGGAAATCGAGGAGCTGAACGCCACCATCCTGTGAGAACGGGGAACTCCCAGGGACGGAGCAGCAGCTCCAGTGGTGCCGAACGGCAGGGAGGGTGTGCTCAGTGCCGCACCAGGGAGCAGATGGGTGTTGGACAGAACAGAGCTGCTGTGGGGTGGGCACTGGTGCAAACTGGGTGGATTTTCAGCGAGCTCTGAGCACAGAATGCACGACAGTGGCAGCATCAGGGAGGATGTGTCAGAATAGTTCTGAGAAGAATTCAGCGAGGATGTTTTTATTAAGCTCATTGGTGATTGAGCTCTCACTCTTCACAATGGCTCTGCTGCAGTTTTCTTCTCAAATGCAGTCAGTTTTTATAGAATATTGTGATTGAGTACATAAGACACAGAACTTGGGCTCCATAGGTTTGCCACTGGCTGAACATAATTGATAAATGCACCTTCCCAGTGCCTCAGTTTGGTCTGTGGGTTTATGATGATGTGCTATTGCAAAGCACGTTGAGAACTGCAGTGGCTTTACTTCCATCTGCAGAAGTTTTGGGCTTAGGCATGATGTTAAAATTAGCAGTAAATCAAAATAGTTTTATTTTTCTTGCAAAATATAATGAAGTCTGCTTGGTTTTGTTTTAAATGGCTCTGTTTTATAAGAACCTCTGTTACATCTTCTTCTGTAACATTGCTTAGGAGTAACTGTAAATTTTTCCTTGACTCCTAATGTGCCTTGTCCTTAAGGGATGCCCAAAATTACTTTGTTCTATGCTATACTTTGTTTTCAGTTTTGTTGTTTGTAACCAGAAGTTTCTGTAGCAGCTTGATAAATCACTTTGCTGCATGAATATAGACAAAGTTGTTGGGAAAACAGTTCTTATTCCTAACTGGAGCAGTTACACTCTGGGGGGGATCATGCCCTGGGAAGCCCCTCCAGCAGAGATACCAGGAATACACACTTTTCTCCTGCTGCAGTTTAGTCTGGAAGAGCAATGTGTCCTTTTTGGTGAGACTCTGACTCCAAACATCTTCTCAGTTCTTGCCAGCAGCAGCTCCCTGCTACCGGGGTTCCCGTGACGCGGCAGAGGTTTGACCACATGAGGAAGATGTTTGATGAGTACGTGAGAAGCAGGACCCTGCAGAACTGGAAGTTTTGGATTGTATCCTTTTATACCAACCCATTGAACCTGGGCTTTGGTACTGGTAGTTTTAGAGCCAAGAACTTGGGATTCTGATATTGTGACTTAAAGCCAAGTTACTTAAATAGCAAACGTCCTCAGTTTTCATCTGCATCTGTGTGTGGATATGGATTCTTGCAGACCTTGCTCACCTCAATATGTGGGAGGTAACTGCAAAGTAAAATGCAATACAGAGGCAAGGTTTTCTTGCTAGGTTGTTGTACTGCAAGAAATCTTTTGTGGGCTCTGCTGTAACTGCAGCTCTGGTTGCCTTTTGGGAAATGTACATAGACAATAGCAAAGATTTCAGGGGAAGAAAAATTACAGTTACAGAAGCTGTTCAAAAACTTGCACATTCCCTTTTCCTTTTTTCCTCTTCAGGTCTGTGTGGAGGAATTTTGCAAAATATAGTGAATATCACTAGGAACTAAGGTTCAATTTTTTTCTCAGTCTTAGTGTTAAGATATTTTAAAATACAATTATTTCAGCATTGCAATCCCTCTGGCAGTTGAAGTCCATTTAGAAATCCAGTGTTTTCTCTGCCATAGCCTTTCCCATAGAATGTTTTGAACTCCCCCTTTGTTGCCTCCCTTAACATTTGATGGTTTGCAGTTCAGCATTATTATAAAGCCATTGTTTGAGTCCTTCAATGGGATGGTTTCCACAACAAGCTTTAAGGATCTGAACGAAACTGCACTGGCCTGGTTGGATCAGCACTGTTCTCTTCCTGTTCTGAGGCCAAGTAAGTGAGGTTCTATCCAGCAGCTCTTCAGATCACAGAAAGTAAGATAGAACAGCATTTCTTAAAAGTCAGAGTATGACAAAGAAAGCACATGATGCTGAATGTGGCTTTCGCTTCCTTTTTGTTAGCTCAGTGAAAAAATAAGAGCCTCTTCTGACTGTGAAGACAGAAGAAAAATTTGTTGAATACACCAGAATTTAAACAGTCTTTAACTACACTTAAATTTCAAAAGCTTGGCTCTAGTTGGAGTATGTTTGGCAGTGTGATTTATCTCATAATGAGGGAAGACCTCTGAGATTTGTATTCAGCTTTGGAGTGACCTTCTGTTTGGGCATCACTGCTTGATCCATTCCCTCTTGCCTTTCACAAGTATTTAATTTACATTTATAGCTGTCAAGGGGTGCTCTGTTCTGCAGAGGAGAGATCAGTCACATTAATAGCTTTTCCTGATGCTTTCCTGCCTTTTTTTTTTGTTTTCCTAGTGGTGCTGAACACCCTGAGGCAGCTGAGCAGGAGCACCTCGATCCTGTCGGACCCGCAGCGGCTGCCGGAGCAGGCGCGCGAGGCCGTGGCGAAGGTGAACAAGAGAGCTGGGGACACCTAACAACCAAAGACACTGAGGTGCTCGTCCCAGGGGTGGAGACCCTGCCAGGCCCTGCCTGCCCAGGCTCCTCCAGTCAGTGCACTTTAGAAAGGATTCTCTCCATCACCAGAGACATTGTTCAGGGCACCTGGCCCTGCCTTGAGAAGAGGTGCAGGTGATGCAGCGTTGTCAGAACGTTTGGGTTCCTCTCCAGTGCTGTGCTGTGCTCTGTCAGTGAGAAAAAACCACCATGCTCAGGTAAACTCAGCAGGTTTGAGCCCTGCAGGCAGCAATAGATCTCCATCAATGCATCCTTATGCAACTAATGGAACGCCCTCAGTTCTCTGAAGTGTAAGTCCTGTACGCCAAGGAATGTGCTCTTCAAGGGGAAAAAATACTTCTGATTTCATGAAGCAAAATGTGCTTTTTATTTTGTTCTCTGGTATTTGGTTCCATGTGTTTTACTTGAATAGTGAAAATTGCTAAACAGGATCATATGAAAAACCAAAGGAGAAGAAAAATCTGTCAGTGATGTCAACTCATGGCAAAAATACTAGAATTAAAATCTCAGGCTGTGTTTTGTGTATTTTTATTTTAATGAGTGTATCATTGCATTTGATCAGTTTCAAGATGTGCTTTATTTTCTAGTAAATAAAGTAGCTGATTTTTATTTTTTTTATATAGCAGGCTGTGCAGTAAGTGCAAGAAAGCAGTTTTAGATAGTATAAATTCTGCAGTTAGGATAAATGCATGAATTTATATCAGTTTAATCAGTTAACTGTTTTCTTGCACTCTGCACAGTTCAGCTGCCATCCTCACAAAATGTGCACATATAAAACACATCCATAGGTAAATGTAGTAGCACTTCAGAGACAAGAATTGAGTTTGTAATGTTAAAAAATTGGCTTTTTTATTATTTCAGAAGCTATATCAAACCACACAGACTTGCAGTCAGTTCTTTGCTTCTTCGTCTTTTTTTGCTTCTTCTTTTTGCCTTCTGTCTGAAAAACCTGAAGGACTTTATAGGCCTGGTCTGTATGGGAAGGTTCTGTTCAAGATGAATTATAGAACGTGTAAAAATAAGTTTAAAACTCAAAATACTGCATAATATTTTTCTTTGACAATCTCAGCACATCCTGTGCTCTGCTGCAGGTAAACTGAGTTGGGACAGCACTGGGATGTTCATTCCTGCTGATTGTTCGTAGTCTGGATGATCCCATGACCCTTGTAATTCCACTCATGACTTGATCCTGATTGTTCAGAGCTCTGCAAATGTGGGAACACCTCCCTTGAGCAGTTTTCTTCCAGTCCCAAGGGCAGGCTGGAGGTGCTGTGCAGCCTCCCACAGTGGGAAAATGAGGAATAACTGGAGCCCTTGGGGGTTGCACACTCTGAAATGGGCTCACTAGGTTCTCCTTGGGGAAAGGAGCTTTTCTCAGCATTATCCCCAATCTCCTCCACTTGGTGGGCCAGAGGTTGGAAGGAAACCATGGGCCTGGGGAGTAGGGCTGAGCACAGGTGGAGGTTTTGGTCTTGTTTCTCCTTTGTCCTGAGTTCTTGCAGCTGATGGCTTTTCTTGCAGAGCTCCCTCTGTGAGAGCAGCACTGTAGGAAGGACAAGGCACAAAAGGTGAGCCCCTCCCTGCGTGGAGGGACTGAGGACTGAAGGGGAAGGCAGAATGGCAATTTTGTACCAACACAGCTTCCTCTGTGCAGGCTGTGTTGGGGGACATGCTTTTCTTTCTCTTCTTTTACAGTAGATTTGACAAATTATTTGAAGTTTGTGGCACATTTGAAAACCTGTGTCCCTGTCACAGAAGCAACAAAATTTCAAGTCTCAGCCAAGGAATGGTGTGTAAAGGTTGTCATAGTAATTAAATAGTGAGTAGAATTTCTGGAGGGATCCATTCCCAGATCTTTCATTATGTGGTAATCAGTTAAGCAATATTCTTTTGGATACATCTGGGTAAGAAGTGTTAAATAAGTAAATAATTTTTTGAATCAGTGCTTTCAATCCTCCTGTTTTTATCACTGGTTGTGAATTTGACTCCAGTAAAATCATTTTACACTGTGATGAGCTGGGGATGTCCTTTATGTCCTTTCCATGGAAAGGACCTCACTGTCTGTTAAGAACATGTGTGGGTTTCTAGCAAGAAAGCAGCAGGCACATTGTCCAAGAGTTTTTGCTGACCTTTTCAGATGAGCAGATTCTCTAATGCCTCCCCTGCTTGTCAGCAGTGATGGTGTGTGATTTTCACCATTTCTGGTATCGATGGCGTGGGAGTTCTGTCCCAACAATCACAGTGCAGTACAATCATCCTTCAGAGCCCAGGGGGATCTGAGAACTGAGACCCTGACATCCCATACCTCACTGGGTGGATTGGAAACTGAAAGCAACCTTAAGGGAACAGCAGAGGTAATTCACCTGAACTGCCAGAAACTTTGTCCATTCACAGTTTTGATGTGGATGGAAAACTCATCCATCAGATTGCACCATGAGCTGGTCACAATTGGAGGGGAAGTGCTTGTTTTACAAATTGGGGTGCAGAAACAAACTCAAAGCACTATTAAAAACCTGCAAATCTTAAAGAGAAAAAAATTAAGTATTTCTTACTTAGGCAAGAGAGTAGGAGGGAGGAAAGGAAAAGTGAAAAGATACTTTCCACTAGTGCAATTACCAGAAATGATGTGGCTGCTCTTTGGAGCAGTGATTCAATATGTTCTTGTCACCTTGTTATTGCAGATCAGAATTCTTTTATCAGTCAGCCTTTTGAGGAGAGTGATTTCACTTCATTTGGAAACACAGGAGGAAAAAAGCTGGTTTATGTCTCACATCTGAACAGTAGAACCACTAAAGATTGGTATGGAAAGAGATGGACCATGTATGTATTAGTTCCTGCATAGTTTTCCACTTTGATTTATGTTTAAACACCTTAGTCTTTCTTTCTTACCCATGGAGGAATTTAAATACTTTCTTTTTTTCAAAGTTTTGTAATTTAAGCACTCAGATTTCCTCAGTGTCACCAAAGTAAGCAAGCCAAACACACAGTGCCTAAAGTCTGCACAGAATTGCAGGTGCTGCACATCTGTCTGGTGCTAAACTTTTGGAGAACCCCATATAACTGAATACAATTGTATTCTGTCAAATCCAACATGTTTCACTCAGTAAATGAGTGGCTAAATAACTTATTCATGGCCTGAGATATGCACAAAGTCAAAATGGGATTGTCTGCTGGTTCCTTCTGACCTCAAATTGTATTAATTGGAATATTGTAGATGGCCCCACCCCAAAGACAAATTCTGGAGAACTGGGGCATTATCTGCTGTAGTTATTACCTTGTATTGTAGTTATTGCTCTCCTTTTAGCAGGAGGAGTAAGGGGTGAAGGTCCAGGAGCAAACTAGAACTGAAGCAATTCCTGAGGAGGAGGATCAGAGACAGGTGCACACTTCACCATGACAGTCTGATCTCTGCACAAACCAAAAGATTCTTGGTTAATGCCATTTGACCTGACTGGAATGTTCTTCCATGCTTTTCAAGACCCCTGGGGAGGGATTCCTTGAAGGTGGGGGCTACCAGAATGTTTCCATCTGTGCCTTAGATCTTGGTGTCCTGTGTGCATTTGATTAATCATAAGTCATCCATTGTTCCCCCTAAAATGATGCTGTGTGGAAAATTCAGAGAATGGAGGAAGTGGGGCTTCCCTGGCTTTTGAGAGGGTTTTATCTGTGTGGCATTACTGTGACTCTTTCAGACTGAGGTTGTGAGTAACTGTTTCTATGTTTGGAAAAAATTGCATTTTCCTTGCTGAATGCCCCCCTCTCCACTGCCATGTGCAGGAACACTTGTGCACACATGGACATCATCTCTGCTCTTCCAAACCCAGCAAACAGGCAAGGCCTTCAACCTCTACATCTGAGATAGAAAAATGTCAAAGGGCTGTCAAATGTATTGGAAACCTGCATCCTTTGTATCTTCAGGGTTTTTTTACATTCCTCTGTGTGTGTTTGTGTTCACATGTGGTAGAAGGGACAGGGACAGGTAAATTTAGTTTTGTTGGCTTTTAAAGCCCAAAACTCCTAAAAAGGAGTTTGAGAACAGGAGAGGGAAGCTCACTGCAGAAATGTTCAGTAAGATAATGCTTACTTGAAGGTTGTTTCACTTTCTCAGTTTCTGGAGTGGATAATTCTTGCCTTGAAGTTGTCAGCTAGAAAGTACTGCTGAAAATTGAATGGGTTTTTCACTGTTTTCTCCTTTTTCTTTCTATATATTTTTTTTTTTTGTTCCTTCCCACCTTTGTTGCATGGAAAACCTCCAAAAAACAAAAGGCTGATGACATCCAGTTCAGGTTCTTTAGGGATTCAGTCACACCAGTCTGGAGGACTGTGGACAATTGTTGATAACTTCTAGGAGTTTTTTAAATTAGGAGAGACATCAGGAGTTTTTCTGTTACTCCTCAATTCATACACTTGAGTTGCAGAGGAGATTATTTGGTTTGGGTTTTGTTTTTTTTTTAATATATTTCCCACAACATCAGTTAAAGTTTTCTTTGGTTTCATTCTTGGTTGGATTTTCTGCCCCTATACTGTGTAGAGCAGAAGTGGTAGAACCAAACTGTAGCTTTATCTGTAGAACTTGAGTTCTTCAGTTACAATTACAGGAACTTCAGTTACAATGAAACACACCTTTGGTATATAATGGAATTAATTTCTAGCCACTGTCTGAACTTTTTATATCTGAACTTTTCCAACATGAATAAGGTTTTCGGTCAAAAGAGATCAATGTTATGAGCAAGCCTTTTAACAATACAATGAATAAATAGATTGTTTTCTTCTTCTAACCTTGTATTTAAATGTGTTTTAAGTGAATGGAATTCATTCTTGTTAAGAAAAAATGACAAAAAAAAAGCTTGAAGGTGTGAGGACTTCAGGTTGTGCTCTTGCTTTGCTTAGGTTTCCTGTTCTGTTGCATGACAACTTCTGTTGTGCTGTTGATATGTAGCACTTTTCAGTAGGTCTGTTA